AGGATCCTCACTATTTTTCCATTATAGTAAGAACTTCAAGTTTGTGACAGATGCTCCTGACTCTAACAGAGATTGGAAGGAGCATTTCATCTGGGTATGTTTTGCAGAAAAACTATTGCACATATATACTATTTAACTAGAAATTTAAAATAACAAATAAAATCCAAATTGAACCAAACTAATACCAATTGAAAGATATATGAATCTAGATTTCAAAACAGAAAACCATTCCTAAAAATAATTTTTCTAGAGAAAGATATACTTAATTTACTGATGATACATTCTGCAAAAAAACGGTTACACATATATAACGTTTAATTGGAAATTAGAGATATCATATGAACTCCAATCTAAACCAAACCACTGCCAAATGATATCTATGTGAATCTAGTTTTCAAAACGAAAAACTATTCTTAAAAAGAGTTTGTCTAGAGAAATATATGCACAATTGACTAACAATATATTCTGCACAAAACTGCAAATGTGCTGTTTTGAAATAATTGATATATAACGTGAAAGTTTCTTGAGTTTCGCTCTTGTTTGTTATTTTTGAGAGAGTTTCTCGATTTTATACTATCATATTACAATGATTAAGAGTTGTTTAATACCTGAGATGATGGTGAACACCAGTTATGGACACGCACACCGAGATATGTGCACATACACTTAGTTTATATTGTGTTAACACGCACTGTTGAGATTTTTGATACACGTTGAGTTGATAAAAGTGATACACTTAGTTTATATTGTGTTAACACGCACTGTTGAGATTTTTGATACACGTTGAGTTGATAAAAGTGTAATAACATATAATAAAGTATTTTTTATTAGTTATGGATGCTCAGTGTGGATGTTACCCCATAATGAGAGCGCGGTTGTACCACACTAGGAGTATTAGATGTTTCCCGCAACGAGGCCGTGACTGTACCAATACTCGAAGATGATCGGGGTTTTTACGGATTTGGCTGATATGTCTATACTCTTCTGTATGATCATCTGGATGCATCATCTGGAAATAGGGAGATAAAACATATTTGTCGCAGAACGATTGAGTAAGAGTATTACAATAGTATCGTTATTTTATGTATCCGGAATAGGAAGATAAAACCTATTACCACAGAGCGATTGAGTAAGAATATTACAAGAATATTGCTATTACATAAGGAGATGCACACATATATGTATCATCAGTTATAGTTACTCCCATGTTAGATTACCCATGAGTAGGATAAGGAGATGCACACATATATGTATCATCAGTTATAGTTACTCCCATGTTAGATTACCCATGAGTAGGGCACATTCCTTGATTTGTGGCATGTATCATCAGTTATAGTTACTCCCATGTTAGATTACCCATGAGTAGGGCACATTCCTTGATTTGTGGCATACAGGATATAACCTATAGTAATTTTTTTTTTTTGAGTTGAATGATATTCTCTTCTTATTGCGCCAACTACTTGAGAAGTAGTTCAAGATTGTGATATTGATTCTATATGGTTTAGGCTTGGAGTATTTCTTTTGAATGTTGTTTTCATTCATAGAGTTGGAATTGATATTTAGGGATCTATAATTTGAGACATATGGTATATATATGAGGGTTTCATTATTTGGATTATTTTGCTCGACGTACTATGTCTCGTCTTGTAGGTGTCTAAATATTAACTTTATTAGATACGGGGAAAATGATATAGGTAGATTATGCTTAATAGATAGAGCCTTCACTTCATCTAGCAACCCTTCCTCTAGGACGGATGGAGGTGATCTTGCTGTAACGCTCTGATGCTCTTGTTTTTTTTTTTTTAAATTATATCTTTCAGGCATATCAGAGTTTCGGAGAGTCGTAGGATAACGGAGATCTAGCATAGTCACTGTCGCACGGTTTTAGCAGTTGAAGCTTCACTATTTAGTTATGTCCATTGTTCAGACTTTAGTGTTGTATTCATTTTGTAGAGACTGAGTGCCTTAGTGAGATTTCATTTGACTCATTGTGTTGAGATATATTTCAGACTCAGAGATATTTGTATTCTATTTCAGTTGGGCTCATTTGTTGATATACTTCTTCTGTGCATATCTAATTTTATACTACTTCTATTACTTGCATGTTTTGTGCCTTCACTTATTTATTGTTTCCACTAGAGAGATAGCGACTGTGATAGTGAAACATGTCGTAGCATGGTAGTTGGTACTGGCTGGTTTGACAATCCGGGTTTCACCTTGGACTGCAGCCTTGTGTGAACCCTGGGGCATCATAATTTTAGATCTGAAAAACTCTCTCTACAAATGCCTAAAACCTCAGAAAGCCCTCTAGGAAACCCTAGGAATGAGTTCTTATTTATACCTAAAGAATTAGCCCTAAAACAGGCCCAAAAAACCGCATTTGAAAAAATCCCGTCGGTTGTCTCGGAACCCGCACGAGACACCTTTTGTGTCTCGGGTTTGGGAGGTGCCGAGACACCCTTTGTATCTCGGGTGTACCCCGAGACATACTTGTAGGAGTGGCCCCTGCGAGACACACTTTGTGTCTCGTACATTCACAATTCTCTACCTCGTACATCATTTGATAAACCTCAAGTTTTGGATGAACACGAGAAGAAACTTAGCGAACATCACCAGAGGGATCTGAAACACCAAACCAGGTCAAACCAGCTGCATCATTATACCATGACTGCCTACGTACCCTCTAACCGGGATCAAGCTAATCGTAGTTCTGTAATTCTCCACCATAGTCTCCACCTCACCCCATCACCGACCCGAAGGGCCATGCCCTCATGGACAGATAAACATGGGCTAATATGAAGCAAGTCTAAGTAATGCTGAAACTTGCTACCTGTCACCACCTTGGTTAACATGTCTGCTGGATTCTCATTCGTGTGCACCTTCATAAGAGAAATATCACCTTCCTCTATGACATCCAGCACAAAATAATACCTGACGTCGATATGCTTAGTACGAGCATGATGAACTTGATTCTTAGCCAAATGAATCGCACTTTGACTATTGTACCACAAGTTCATGCAATCCTGTTCAATCCTCAAATCATCTAGAAGACCCCACAACCATAATACTTCTTTCACTCCCTCTGCCATGGCCATGTACTCAGCCTCTGTAGTAGAAAGTGTAACTGTAGCCTGTAACATCAATCGCCAACTAACTGGAACACTATGTATTCTGAACACATAACAAGTAGTAGATCGTCGTCTGTCTAGATCGTCCGTATAATCTGAGTCAACAAAACCATCAATCTGACACATATCTCCACCAAAGAACAGACTCGTATCTGCGGTACCCTTCAAGTACCTCAGGACTCATTTCACTGCTTCCTAATGTGCCTTTCCCGGATTCGTCATGAACCTACTGATAACACTGACCACCTGTGAAATATCTAGATGTGTACACACCATTGTATATATTAAACTGCTAACTTCACTAGTATAAGGTACATGCTCCATGTGTGCCTTCTCTTCCGTTGTAGTGGAAGATTCTTTACCTGAGAGCCTGAAGTGTGGAGCCAATAAAGTCACCACCGACTTAGCACTTTGCATCCCAAACCTTACGATAACCCGCTCAATGTAGCCATTCTGACTCAAGAAAAATCACTGATTTGTTCGTTCTCTTCTAATCTCCATTCCCAGTATTTTCCTAGCAACGTTCATGTCCTTCATCTCAAACTCTTTACCAAGTTAAGATTTCAACCTATCTATCTCCATCTTGCTTCTCGAAGCAATAATTATGTCATCCACATACAAAAGAAGATAGATATAATCACCTCCACGAAGCTTCCGAATATAGACACAACAGCCAATATCTCTTCTGGAGAACCCATGCTTTAGCATGAAGGAGTCAAATCACTTGTACCACTACAGAGGAGATTGTTTCAATCCATATAGTAATTTCCTCAAGCGACATACATGATTCTTCTTATCCTTAGCCTTGTAACCCTCAGGCTGATGCATATAGATTTCCTCGTCTAAGTCTCCACGCAAGAAGGTCGTTTTGACATCAAGTTGTTCTAACTCAAGATCACCATGAGCAACAATACTCAATAGCATCCGAATAGAAGTGTGTTTCACCACCGGAGAAAAATATCATTATAATCGACACCCTCTATTTGTGTAAACCCCTTAGCCATTAGTCTTGCCTTGTACCTTATACTGCCGAGCTCGGAATGATCCTCCTTTCTCTTGTACACCCACTTACACCCAATAGCTTTCCTCCCTACGGGCAATGGGACTACCTCCCATGTTTGGTTTTTCCGGAGAGATTCCATCTCTTCCTCCATCGCAGCCAACCAACTCTCACTATCCCTATCCCGAATAGCTTCTTTGAAGGTGACCGACTCATCATCCTCCACCGAGAGTGCGTACTCAATCAAATTTACCTGCCCATAGTGCTTCAGAGGCTGGTATGACCCTAACTTCTGAACCTGCTTGTATGCCCCGAGTGTTTCCGTGATTTCCTACTTGAATACGACTAGAACATGGTTGGTCTTTAGGTTCTATCTCAATCACCTGGGATTTTGAGGTCCTAACAGTCTCAACACCATCATCCTTGGACGTCCTAGCTTTTGATAAAGCTATCATAGATTTCTCATCAAAGGTAACATCTCTGCTGATCACAAACTTAGAATCTTCTGTACACAAAAGGTGATAGCCTTTTACGTCCTTTGCATACCCCAAGAATATTACCTTCTTTGCCCTCACGTCAAGCTTTCCCTCGTTGACGCTATAGTAGGCTATACATCCAAAAATCCTGAGCCTATCGTAATCTGCATGCTCCCCAGACCATACCCGATAGGGTACATCACCATCCAATGTCAAATATGGAGAACTATTCACTATGTAACAAGCTATAACAACCATTTTTGCCCATCATTCTTTGCCCAAACCAGCATATGATCACATACTCATTACTTTCTTCCGCAATGTACGGTTCAGTCTCTCTGCGACTCTATTTTGTTGTGATGTAGACCTGACTGTCCAGTGTCGAGCAATATCCTCCTAATCACAAAGCTTCTTGAAAGCATCCTCTGTATACTCTGTACCGTTATCAGATCTCAGTGTCTTCAATTTTCTGTCTGTTTTATTCTGAACCATTAATTTCCACTTCTTAAATGTCTCGAATACATCATTCTTATGCTTAAGAAAATAAATCCAAGTATACCTAGAATAATCATCTATATATGAGACAAAATACCTGGAACCGTCCTTGGAAATTGTCGGAGCTGGACCCCAAACATCTGTATGCACATAGTCTAATATACCTCTACTCTTGTTCTTGCTTTTCAAGAACTGGACCTTGTGCGCCTTTCCGTACATACAATTCTTGCAAAAATTTATGCAAGGTTTCTTTATGTTCTTCAGCAAACCTTCTTTGTCGAGCAGATCTAGACCATTCTTTGACATGTGCCCAAGCCACCTATGCCATAATCGAGTGTGCTCACATGAGTCCTCACCACTTCCATCAGTTCCAACCGATGCATCTCTTGTCACTGTCGTACCTGAGAAAGTATATAGATTACCATGACGAATGCCCTTCATCACTACTAAGGAACCTCGAACAACCTTTTTTACTATGTTCTCTGTAACTATCTTGTAGCCACCGAAGTCCAAAGCACCAACTGAGATAAGATTCTTTTACAAGTCGGGAACATGTCTCACATCCATCAGGGTTCTGAGTACTCCATCATGCATCTTGATTTTGATATCATCAAGCCCCACCATTTTACAAGCATAGTTATTCCCCATTAATACGGTTCCAGCATCAATGCTTCTATAGGCAATAAACCACTTCTTATTTGGGCACATATAAGAGCAACCTGAATCAAGAATCCACTTACCGGATGTATCTTCACCACATGTAACGGTGTAGCATTCTTTTTTGCTCCCTTCCTCCGAGACATAGCTTGCATCTTCCTTGCCTTCTCTTCTCTCAGTTTTATTGTTGTTCTTCTTCCCACCTACTCTCTTGTTAGGACAGCCAACCTTGAAATTTCCAAGCTCACCGTATTTGAAACACGGTCTTCCTGCAAAATGTCTCGATTTCGATCTAGACTTTCCTCCCCTGCATTTTCCTCGTTCATTGACCCTTTCCTCTTACAAATAATCCATGTGTTTGCTCTTTGTTACCACTAGTAGCCATGTCACTAGTTACAATTTTTTAAAGATTATCCGCTAGAAGCGTTGTTCTAGTCCCATCCATCTTCAAATTGTCACCTACAAGCATTAATGTTTGTATCAGGTTCTCATAAGACTTTGGTAAAGAAAGAAATAGCAGAAGTGTTTGATCCTCATCTTCTACTGTCACATCAATGTCCTTCAAATTAATCCGATATGACCATATCGAACTTGTTGATGTATTCCTGGAGTGATGATCATTCCTCCATCTTGCAACCTCTCTAACTTTGACCACACATCCGCAGTCGTTTCCTCTACATCCACCAAAAAAAACTACATCTCTCTCAAGGCATAGGATAATCAACGCTCGTGCTTCGAGATCTAACTCTTCCCAATCCTCATCAGACATATCTGTGTGCTTCTTTTCTTTTCCTACCAAAGCCTTGTGTAATTTCTACGAAATTAACGAGTTTTTCATCTGCATCCTCCAAAAAGAAAAATCATTATTCCCATTGAATTTTTCGATCTCATACTTTCCCACTTTAATCGTTTTACTGGTAGACGCCATTCTCCGCTTGTTTTAGTAAACCATTTCTCTCAGAAATTTCAACAAATATCTTGTGTCCACCACACAATAACCAAACACCACCTCAAATTGAAAGTTCTACCACCACCAATCTGATCAAGGGGCTTTGATACCAATTGTTGGGGGCACGACACGCCCACCTCATCGCGAAAGCGAATCACCTTGAAAAAAGTCATGGCTTTTATTTTCACAAAACACAAGTCAATCTCGATGTTCCTGTTTTACGATGAAAATAAGAACAGAAATAATATATCTCAGCAAGGTGAGATATACACTCTTCTTAATATCAGATCTACATCTGAATATCGAGGAAACCAACAAACAATAGCCAACACATAGAAAACAATAAAAATATGAGATTTACGTGGTTCGGCAAACTTGCCTACGTCCATGGGGAAGGGTGAAGGGAGATTCCACTATGAAGGAGAACACCAACAACTTACACAACCAGCAAGCTCGTCCCAAAGAGAAGAGGCTTCGATTTTACCCAAGAAAACTGACATTTTTCTTGTACAATCGCTCCAAGTTCTCTCTCTTTTCTCTCCTCAAGATCTCACCTTTTAGATCTGAAAAACTCTCTCTGTAGCCGCCTAAAACCTTAGAAAATCCTCTAGAAAACCCTAGGAATGAGTTCCTATTTATACCCAAAGAAATAGATCCGAAAACAGGCCCAAAAAACCGCAACTGGAAAAATCTCGTCGACTGTCTCGGAGCCCACGCAAGACACATTTTGTGTCTCGGGTTTGGGAGGTGCCGAGAACAAAGATTCGCGCTCTGTAGTGTGTCCTCGGGTGTCTCGACCGTAGAACACGTCGCTTGTGAGGATTGTGCGCGCCCGTGAGTCGTGTGCAGGCAAGACACAAGTGTGCTCGCTGTGTGGCCCCCACCAGACACTTTTTTTCTCGCATGTTCACAGTAACTATAGAAGATGTCTCAGTAACTATCTCCTGGCTAGTCTTGATAGAATTTCGATATCTCAAGTAAGAATAATTGATGAAGAAGGGAAGAACAAAAGTTTTAAACCGTCATACATTCTTCGTGAATGACTCAGGACAACATGTTTTTGTACAGGTATTTTGATAAAATTTATGCTCGTGCCAGTTCAATATCCAGACACGTATAGCAAGTCTGGGTCTAATAATTTTACTATATGATCGATAACTAGATGAAGTCCCTCACCTTATAACATATTCCTGTCGTTTACGTGAATATTTAAAAAAAAAAGTAATAGTCTCAAAGTGATAGAGATACTAGCACTCAAGAGAAATTATTTCCTTCATCAAAGGTTTCTTTATGCAACAAACAAAAAGTAAGAAAACTACTGAAGCTTACAGACATTAGTTAGGAATCAGTGCTGGAGAGCTAATATGGACCTCAAGCATCACATAAAAAGGAATTTGTAGGCAGTATCGTGGTGAGTTAATTGTTAGCATCCCTTTTACTCAAACAAAAAAAAACTTGAAAGCGCCCTCAAGATATTCTGGATAAGAGGAAATGGGCATCTTTTTGATGATGAGCTTTGAAGAATTTTGCCTTCTAAGACCAAAACCAGTGTACGGCTAGCTACCGTGAACTTGACAGGATTGAGGGCTCTGTTCATCAACTTTATTTTCCTTTGTATTTATTTTGACATGCCTGTTGACTAGGGGTGTCAAACCGTATCCGTATCCGAGGAAATATCCGTAACCGTATCCGTTAGGATACAGATATGATTACTCAAATCTATAACCGATAGGATATGGTTACGGATATGGTTTTGTAGTGAAATATCCGTATCTGTATCCGAAAATATCCGAATACATATTGGTCATACTCTTACAATAGTTTTGATTTTTAGATTATGGATTTGTGGTTACTTTTGAAGATCAAGATGTCTAATCTTAGCTTTTCAATCATAATGAACATATTAACGAAATTTTTTTGTATCACATGACTATATTTTTCTGAATACTATCTAGTTTTCTCATATCCTTTTTGTATCCGCATGCATATCCGTTTATATATCCGCATCTATATCTATAACCGTATCCGATTTTGGCGGATATGGATATGAATTTTTCTTACCGACATATATCTGTATCCGTATCCGTATCCGAGATGGGTAAATGGATATGGATATGGTAAGTGTCATATCCGAGCCGTATCCGCTCCGTTAACACCCCTACTGTTGACGTGTGAAACATATCAAAGCACGCATATGAGAGACCATCTTCATGCGTATCATGTGCCAACACACATTCGAAAATAAATTCAAGAGATAAGAAAATATAAGGTAATAGGAGCTTTTCGCTTCGCACCAAAACCATCTAACAGAAAATTGTTGGGGTGCATAGGTGTTGATCAATCTCATACTTGAGCTAAACGGATGCAATACATTCCAATTTGACCTCAGTACAAATAACTAACAAAGATAGGGATCTCTATTTAACAATTTGCAGACAAACAACATCACAACGGAAGCAATTGCAACAAGTGACATCCAAAAGCGCCTAGCTCTAAGTTACACCAGAGCCACACGTAACATTACAAAAACTTTAAGGCAGATAGAAACATATTCCAACACTCAAACAAGGGTACAAAGGGTAATATACAAGTCAACCCAAGAGAATATTTAGAGCCAAGGATTAGAAGAAATTTTTGTTTCAATGGACATTGAACTCTACATAAAACCAAAAGCACCAGAATGTTAAAATACCACAAACACTCAACCAAGGCTACAAATCTCAAATACACATCAACCCAAGAGAATGTTTGTAGCCAAAGGATTAGAAGAAAACTCATGTTTTAATACTCAAACAACTCTACATGGAATAAAAGCACCACAATGTTAGAAAGACCATAACTTAAAGCTAATCAGGCCAAAATCTAGCTTCTTAAGCTATCCAAAGTCTGAAGGGCAAATAAGTCTGGTTATGGTTTATGTTCACATTGAGGAATGAGTTGAGAAGAAGTGGAAGTCATGGTGGTGGACTCTGAGTTGCTTTAGCCAAGAGTCAGCGGCACTGTAGAGAGAGACGAGCCTTTCTTCGTCGCCCATCTCAGGGTTCATCCAAAATGTTCCGTGCATTTTGTAAGTGGCTAGGCCAAAAGAAGGAAGAGAGATACGGTTGATGTCCTTATGTCTGTTGTTTCTTTCTATGACTGCAGATTTTGTGTCATTTCCGGTGTCCTCTGGCAATTGCTCTGCAAGAATGTCAAGAAGGATGAATGAATATCAAGAGTTTCAAGCGTTAAAGATAACTAGTGTGCACCCCGTGCAAAGCACGACCCCCTATTTTTTCAAGTATTGCGTTTTAAACTTACCTCCCTCTAAGTTTTAATACATTTAATTTGATTATTGTATGCTTAAAATTAGAAATTATATCTACTACTCTATACTTAAAAGGATGATCCAAGTTTTAATGAAATGCACAACTTCATAAGAAAAGGGCAAGGAAAATTATTATGACAGTAAGGGCAGGTTATCCCACATTGTATGGGCAATTCTCAGATTTAAATGATCAATTGTTAGGGTTAATTGTGGACAGACAAAATGCACTATTGCCCAATTGCAGATAGACCCCTAAGTAACTTTTTGACAAATAGACCTCCTAAGAATTTCACTCAGGGGGCCTATCTGAAAAAGTAGAACTATAGAGGGTTTATCTGCAATTGGGCGATAATACAGGGGATCTATTCTATATTAGCCCTAGAATATATTACAATTTTAAGGCATTGGTAGAGACTTAAATAAAATATCAGATGCACCTAGGTTCTTATCCCAGCAAACTCACATTTTAAATAAGATTAAAATGAATGTAATACCACACAAAAGATAGATTTCAGTTAATAAAAATATCAACCACTATAGGGGTGTTTTAAGTATAATATTAATTCCCTCCATTTTTACGCCTTTCGAGTGTTGATGCTGTGGCAAATACCTTAGGAAGACAGTTGATGGGTCAAGGGGAGAATAGAAGAGAGGTTATCAACAGTTTAAATCCTGGAAAAGGACAGCAAATATTTCTCAAAAACTAAAAGAATTCTCATGTCACTAAACACAAAAATCAGATAGACTAAGGCTTGCATTAAAGGTCTAATGGAAAAGCAAAATAAAAATAAATCAAGAAGAACTAATCCCACAACCAACAAGTACTGTTACTTAAAAAATGTGACTCCAGAAGTTCCCTTGGTAACTTTTGAAAAAAAAAAATTTGCTTCATCAGAACAGAAAAGAAACTCCATGCCACAAACAAATATCTTAAGTCTTCAATAACATGCAAACAGATGATTATGCTGGAAGTTTTCAGGAAACAGCTGCATATCCTGACTTGGGTTTAGAGAAAATTGCATCAGATAGCTAAAAGAGTGGCTCGTTCAAAAATATCTAAACATCCATTTAAGACATGGAAGGTGAATAATAGACGTTGAAAATGAAGAATTAAAAGAGGCAAAATGGGACTCGAAACTCTTCACTAAAGAGGGTTATTGGTTGGGACAAGTTGGGGCTAAGTGAGATAACTGTTTCCAATGGAACAATTTTATCCCTTTGGGATATTTTGAGTGGTGTAAAGTGGGACAATTTAGTATGATGGGATAATTTGAAACTTTGATTTGACAATTCATGTGGTATAATTGATGATGTGGTACCTTATTAAAGTACAATACATATCTATCAATTAAGTCTAAATTAATTTACCTAATTAGTTTAGTATATTATTTGGTATGTTATTATAATGTACTACATTATTTTACTTTATACTAAACTATAATATATTATATTATAATTACTAATTAATTATAATTATATTTAATGTTATTAACTAATTTAATATAATATATTATAATAATATGATATATTATATCATAATTGATATAATATACAAACAATATATTTAATATAGTATTTAAATAATATAATATTTAATCAAATATTATAATATTTTGTTTAATTCAATATATTATTATTTAAAATATTATATTATTATTAAAAATATAATATAATATTTTATTTTATGATAATTATTATACTGTTAAACAAATAGTATGATCATGGCTCATTATAAAATATAATATTTATATAATCAAATAATATACTATTAGTATGTCAATATTATTAATTAAAAAATATATTAAATAATATAATATAATATATTACTTTTATATATATTATCATACTTTAATATATAGTAATTATTATAATTTTTATTCTAGTAATAAAAATATTATTTAATATTATACCTACCATAATATTGACAATATATTTAAGAACATAAATTATAATAATAAAGTATAATAGAAAGTAAATTATTATATAATAAATTATATATAATATAATTAATATATTATTAATTAATATATTAAATATATAAACACTAAATTATAATACAATATTTTATATCATAAAAATACTACAATAATATTTTTATTCTAACTAATAAATATATACTAAATAATATAAAGTAATACTATAATAATATAATACTAATATTATAATATATGAAATATTATTAACCAATATGTAATAATGATATATAATAACGTTATATTAGATAATATTATATAATATTTTATTATCTTACGTAATAATAGAATTTTATAATATAATATAATTAAGATATATTATATATTATATTACAATTAACATATATTAGATATTTAATAAATTAGTGCTTCAAAATTACCCCACTTTCATCATGATTGTCCCAAGTTAAGAGTGGGGTATTTTTTGTAGGTTGGGACAAAAAGTTTGTATAGAAGTGAGATAATTTTGGGAAAAGTGGGGGTAATTGTCCCAATCTTATTGTCCCAATGAAAAACACCTTAAAGTGAAATCTCAATCTCATTGTCTCAATGAATAACACCATAAAGTAAAGTCCCAAAAATTATCTCACTTACCCCAAAACTACACCAACCAATAACCCCCCATATCATGGGGTTAGAGGAAATCAATGCCATTAATTTGAATGGTCTTTCCCACAAACCAAGAACTTTTTTGTTTCTATTTCACCTCAATTCAGCCTTGAGAATAATTAGAAAGCATACATAGATACACTGGATTACTGATCATAACATTTCAGTGAAGCATTTATCTAATACAAACTTTCTAAATTCAGTTTTAATCTAAAATCATTCAGAATTAAAAGACAAGGATATGCACCCAGAGACCAGTTCAAATTGCAAATATATATTCTCCATGGTTTGCTAATTCTATCGTTTTGTAAAACCAAGTTCCACATGTAACCTTTTGTTGTTTAAGAGAACTTCAAAAAGAACTTATTTCATATATAAACAGAAATCAAGACCTAATTATTCCATTTCCTAATAATTTCATAACTATGGAGTAACTTGTAAATCAATTAGATTTCATGATTGTGTAGCATTAGTGTTTCTGTTGCTTTGATCATCGAAACTAGAGATACACAGGTGAGTAACAAAATATGAAGGGCAAATTTAAATAGCAAAGGGGGAGTCAAGATAAGTTTTTAAATTTTAAAGAAATTTGTTCTAGATAACACATAATGAGAACTTATCATTTCTATCGTACTGAAATAGATGGAAATTTTTTTAATTGGTGATGTGATAATGTTAGCCCAGTTTAAGAAATAATAAATAGAACCGCCTTGGAAAAATGAAATATCTGATGTTGAAAGTGATCAATACCTATAACTTCTAAATGATAATCAATATTATATGATTTATCAAAAACAAGACATGTAAATCATGCATATGAAACTTTTGAAATAAATGCTTTAACTACCTATTTGTCTACCAAATAGCTGCCACCTCAAATCACAGTGAATAGTTCTCAAAAAAGAGAGAGAATCTATAGTCATAAATTCAATTAAGCACATGGGATAATTGCAACTCATCTGACTCATTACCTTGGTAGGATGACGATATAGTATGAAAAGTCAGAAAAGAAGCAGATAATTCCTTCACATTTCTCTTAGCTGGAATGTGATAAATAGGGTACCTGATAAATTTGAGAAAAACAAAATCAGTGGCCAAAAATGGAACACATATGAAAGACGTCTCTTTTAAACTTTACATGGTTATACATCCCTGTGCAACATGAATGTCATAGTAGTAATGGCAGGTGTAATGGTGATCATTGGCTATTCCACTAATCCTCAATTACAAAAACCTTCAAAATTTTGAACTAACTCTCGAAGAATTTGAGATATTAGTATACCACGAAATTGACATCCAACTTGCAGGGGAAAGCTCCGCGCTCTTAAAAGATGTCAAACCCGGGTAATTTTGAGCCAATTCATTTATCTAAGATAAGAAGAAGAAGAAAAAAAGGAGATTAACAACACATTACACATTGAACTAACACACATTTCTAATGTTTGGAAATAAACCTGCATTTAGCAAATCATACCTTTTCCATGAGTGGTATCCTTCCATAAGGAGGACAACGTTCAACATATTGCAAATAGAGTTGCCCAATTCGATCCTTTGCTGGCCATATACCATCTTGTTCAAAGCCCGAATCCTCAGATGCAGCATCCCAAGACTTTGAGAGCTTCTCGCTCTCACTATCATCGCTCCAAGAATCACTCTCGCTATCTTCTACGACATTCCTATACCAAATAATCAGCATAATCTTCATACAAACTCCCAAAATGGTGACGAACTAAAATGTAACAATTTATAGCAAAATACTTATCTAAACTTAACTGGAATGAGGGCTCTGTCCACCAACATTTTATCCCTCAGATTTGCTTTGAGGTGTGTGCTGATGTGTGACACACATCAAGAAACGCATCTCAAAGACATTCTTGATGGGTATCACACATCAATACCCATCTCAAAATAAATCCCTCAGATACGGAGTTGGTGCATGGAGCACTTAGTCAGTTAAGCTTACAGGAGCTATACTCCAAATTAATATGCTAAGGATTCACAAATATATACCTAGATAGGGGGGGTTTGCTAGTGTAAATTTGGATGGCCGAGAGGTGAGGTACGTAATATTGAACTACAGTTTCGCCATTAGGGAGATGGATTGGAACGCCAAGGCCATAGGCGCTCCATTGATAATATTGGTCCCAGATGTCTCCAAGGGTGAAGCAATCAACTGTTTCTTTGCCAATTGGTTGCCATAAGCTGTTTGGATCTTTAATTGATGTCTGTATATATACAATTTGAGTTAGTGCTAAAGCAAAACTTTGAAGAACTTTTGTATCAGTTATTTGCAGGACCAACCATATGCATATAGAACAATCATTAAGAAAGTGAACTTTTAATTAAGGAAAAGATTATTGACCTTTTGTTCAAAGGAGTAAATTTTTACCAAAATAAGAAATAGAAATTGATCTAGTTTTTCCCCAAAATCTAATTCTATCTACAGCTGAAAGTCCCACATAACACAACCATAACATGAAGAAACAAAATCTTATATAACAGAAAATTCTGAGCTTCCCAGAAAAATCTCCAAAATAGGAAAGCTCAAGAAAGCAAATAAGATTTTGGTTACCAAAAGAGGATGTTTGTCCTCAAATTAAGCAAAACCAACGGATAAATATAAAGACATATATTCATCAAAAGAACAGAATAAAATTAATCAAAAACACACTAAAACAACAGTTATTAAAAATAATCCCAAAGGCAAATAAAAAATAAATTAAAGGCAAATGAAAAAACAAATTGACTTTAACACAATTCAACTAGGAAAAAAAGGGATTTTTTTTTCTAACAAGGCTATAGTCAACAAATTTTGACTTTTCCCCCCTAAACGAAGAACAGACATTCACCCATCAAAAGTAACAGCAGAAACTAATCAAAAACACACTTAAAACAAGAATAACAAATCCAAAAGTAAACAAAAGAATAATTGACTCCAATACAACTCAACTTGAAAGGCGAAAAAATGATTTTTTTCAACAAGATCATAGTGAACAAAATTTGATATTTTCTAATAAAAAACAAGAATTGGGTATTGAAATTTACCTTTGTTAGAGATTGAGAAGCCACAAATGGCGTAGTTGCATCAAGGAAACACTGTATATTAGAATAGTTCCTCCGATCTTTAGAACCCATGTCTCAGAATCAAAGATCAATGGAAACTCAAAAGCAAGCTCAAAAGATAAAAGAAAAAAAATCTAATGGGTTTTTTTCTATTCTCTCTCCAAATATCTCTATATCTATATATAACACTTTAATAGGAGAAAATAATGAAGAAAATATGGGAGTGATACCCACAATATCCTATACCCAAAGCATTAATTTGGCAAGCAATTAAGTTTTTGATACTCTATATCCTTTCTCCTCTCTCTCTCTCTTTCCAATTTTAGAAAAGCCCAATTTGCATAATGAGGACACTTTTTTCGGGGTTTTTGCAAAAAGATGAATTGGGTTTTGGAGGAAGAAGACGAAGAGATTTGTTGTTGCTGTCGTAGTTTCTAAGTTTTATGAGCAACGAATTCACGAACCGTTCGCTGCGCCGCGTGTTGCTTCACTTGGTCTTTTTTTTCTCTCTTTGTTTCCCTTTTGTTTTTGTTGATGGGTTTACTTTGCCTTTTATGCTCTCTATTTCTCTTTCTCTCTCCTCACTTTCTTCTCTCTCTTGCTTTCTGTTTTTTTTCCCCCTCTAATTTTATTTATTGTTTAATTTTTAATGCCTTTTTTAATGTGTCAAGGTGAAGAACTGAAGGTAAATAAAATATCCACCGTTACCCTTTGACTGTAATTTTCTAAACAGAGATGAAGCTGTTGAGGTTTTCTGTTTTGCCGTTTTTATTTATTTTTGTCTTTTGCTTATTTTATTTATTAACTTGTTACTGCTATTTTTAAGATAAAAGATAATAACTTGTCCACAATCACAAGCCTATGACTATAGATTTTCTAAAACGGAGGTGAAGCTGTTTCTTTATTGTTTTAGTTTCTGTCTGTTTTTTCTTTTTAAAATTTCATTTAATGTTATTTTTAATAGAAAAATTCCCTGATGACCTAAAATATGAGACTAACAGAATGGACAGGTGAGATGTCCCCTCTTATTGCATAATGAGCTGGTTATCATTAATGATGGTCAGCTCATTATGCAATAGGATGTGGACATCTCACATGTTCCCCTATTGGTCCCATATTTTGGATCCATGTAATAAAACTCTTTTTAATAAAACGTAAAGGACAAATTTTTAAAATCAACCATTTTCGTAATTTAAATAGCAAAATCGACCTCTTAGAAATTTATTCAGCAAAACCGACCCTTTTCTTCTGAAAAGGATCGGTTTTGTTGTCGAAGAAAACCCATCGACGCCGACCACTGCCGCCGCCGACCAAGCGCCCTCCGACCACCGCCGCCGCCGACCAAGCGCGCTCCGACCGCCGCCGGCGACCAAGGTAAATGTGGTTTTTTTTTAATTTTGATTAGCCATGAAATTTCGGATTTGGGAATGGATTTGGGTTGAGATTTGGGTTGAGATTTGGGAATGGATTTAATTGAGATTTGGGATTAAGGTTGAAATTTGGGAATGTATTTAGTTGAGATTAGGGAATTAGGGTTTAGACATGAATAATGTGATTAGGGTTTAGACATGATTAGGGTTTAGACATGAATAATGTGATTTGGGATTAGGGAATTTAGCCATTATTTGCTTTGTAGTTGAGATTAGGGTTTTAAATTTGACTTTAAATTAAGATTAATATTTCCAGTTATAATAGATTATTTACATATGATGGACTGTTGATTTTCAGCTTCGATGGAAAACTTTATGCTTATTATTTGCTTCTTCAATGGGAGCCTCGCCGTCGGATTGAATAGTATGTCGATGTATGAGGGAGGTTCTAGGAAAATATTTATGCTATCTAAGTCATTCGTCGGATTGAATAGTATGTCGATGTATGAGGGAGGTTCTAGGAAAATATTTATGCTATCTAAGTCATTAAATTTTGATGGAATGATGAATGAAATACACAGAGTTACAAAAATTAATAAAGCATGGTATGCAATTAAATTGTTCTTCAATTGTCCGATAAATGAGAGTAGAACTATTACTGTGGTGATTACCGATGATGAGGAATTGAATGACATGAAACAATTAGTGGAGAAGCAAGTGTCAGTTGAGTTGTTCATTGAGAATTATCCGATTCAAGAATTTGCCCAAGTTTCACGACCACAAGGAGAGTTTTCTCGGATGATGGACTTAGACAATGAGTCGAGTGGTTTTATGACATCTCCAAGTCAAGAGCCGTGGTGTCAACTACAACATTTAAGTGGGCATTCTCTTGGTGGGACGTCAAGTACTATATTTAACGACGCATCGGGCTATGTTACGGGTGATCTACCGGTCGGATTAATTGTAGAAGAAGAAGTAAATGATGACTCAGAAGATATTGAAGAAGAAGACGTGCAAATTGCTAGCATGCATGTGGCAGTTGGAATCGATGATGATTCTCGTTGGATGGATCAATTTAATGTTAACAATGATTATGTGGAAGCTGAAGATCCGTTGTCCGACGAGTTTCATAATAAAGATTGGATAAATACTTCGCAAGCTGAATTTGTTGATGTTGGTCCAAACTTTCAACGGCCTGAGGACTTCACTTTTAAAAAAGGGGACCTATTCGAGAGCAAGGAAGCATTGATCTTTGCGGTGCGAGAATGGTCTATAAAAAATCGGGTCAAATTCAAGCCTGTAAAAAACTAATGCACCAACTACTATGTAAAATGTTATTTCAACGAGAAGAATGAAGTAGAGCATGCAAATGAGCAAGATGAGAGAAACAGGAAATGTCCTTGGTTGCTAAATGCCGCTGTGAGGAAATCAACAAATGGGCAATTTGTAATATCTAGATATTGCGGGCTTCATACATGTTGCAATCCGTCGGTGGACATCGATCATTATTCTGCATCTTCCTCTTATATATGTAAGCTAATTATGCCTGAAGTTAGAGCTGAACTTGATCTAAATGCAAGTCAGATATTTCAAAGGGTATATGATATGCGGGGCATTAAGATATCTAAATATAAGGCATATGATGCAAGGAGGAAAGCGTTGTCGAAAATATTTGGAGATTGGGAAAAATCTTATGAATTACTTCCACAGTATCTTGAAGTTATCAAGCGAAATAATCCGGGTACTGAATATGAAATATTGTCTGAAGAGATTGCACCGGGGATGGAGAGGTTCACACGAGTATTTTGGGCATTTGGTCCGGCTATTAAGGGCTTCACTTTTTGTCATCCGTTATTAAGCATTGACGGTACACATCTATATGGCAAGTACAAAGGCGTGCTTCTTGTGGCGACCGGTATAGATGCAAATGGCGGTTTATTTCCTCTAGCATTTGCAGTTGTGGAGGTAGAGGATACTTCTAGTTGGAAGTGGTTCTTTGAACTTATATACAAGTGGATTCCTAGTGTCCGTGCGCCTAGATTAATTACTTTTATCTCGGATAGGATGAAAGGAATTATAAGGGCATTACATAAGGGTTTTGGTGCACCACATCACCATCGATATTGTTTGAGGCATATAAGAGATAATTTCAAGAAAAAACACGGTGAGATTAATTTGCAAAATCTTTTGTGGCAAGCTGGGTGTGCAACCGATACATTAGTGTATGAACATTGTAGAGAGAAGATCAAGTCTTTGTCATTAGATGCACATAATTGGATTGAACATAACTTGAAGCCTCAATTCGAGCATCGATGGGCATTATGTAAGGATGAGGGTGTGCGGTTTTGCATGATGATAACTAATTGCTCCGAGAGATTTAACGGTGTTCTTAAAGGAGCACGAGCTATGCCAATACAATCATTGGTTGCAAGAACGTTCTATAGGCTAAACTCATACTTCAACAAAAGGCGTGAGGACGGTGTAGACTGGACAACGTGTTACATACCAAAGAATGAGTCTATTTTGCATAGAAGAATTGAGGCGGCAAGATTATGTCAAATTATTGTATTCAATGATAATGAATGGCAGGTACAGGATTATGACGTTATCTATACCGTTAAACTGTTTGATGTTGATTGTACTTGCACATGTAACATACCACAACTTCAAAAAATACCTTGTGCACATGTTCTTGCGACTTCCTCTAATCAGCCGGGTGGTGCGAGAATTCCATATAATCGGTATTGTTCGCCATGGTATTCAACAATTCATTACCGAAAGACATACAGTGAGAGTTTTCATCCACCCGATGATAGTCGGTATTGGCCCGAATATACTGGACCACGACTAATTCCACCTCAATACAAGAGACAAGCAGGTCGACCACAATATGTACGAATTAGGGGAACCATGGATCAAGGACGAGAAGGAATTATCAAGCATAAAAAATGTAGTCTTTACAAACAACCGGGACATACTCGACCTCGTTGTCCAGCTAGACTCAATAGATAACAATTAATTGGTAATAATTGACATATTCAAATTGTGATTTATTTTAATGTAGAAAATATAATTAGTCGTGGATCGGTTATTGATATGTTATAATTGTATGTGCATGTATATACACCATGGAGCCTGGACCGATTAGTGATGAGGTCCTATATGACCAGCCTCGACACCGTTCACATGTTATATCCTTTACAGAGGTAACTAAGTTTCTTATAATTTCAATATTGTATTCTTATAATATTGTATTCTTATATATTCATTTGCTTTACAGATAGGCCCGGATATTGTTATGGTTGATCATAGCCTCAGCCATAGTCGTTGGCATCTAGAGGATGAGCGCATAATAGCAGCTGTAGGACGGGTCGGCTTCTTGACATGTTCAAAGCTTCGTTGGATGAGGCTCGATTGGCCCCTACTCACCGCTTTGATAGATAGGTGGAGGCCAGAGACCAACACTTTCCACTTCCGAATGGGAGAGTCTACTATTACGCTACAGTATGTAGCTATGATACTTGATCTCCGCATAGATGGTCCGTGCGTTACCGGCAGTGATAGACATTTTTGGCCGGACAGGTGTGAGGAGTTGTTAGGTGTAGCTCCAGAGTCAATGCCTAGAGGAAATATTAAATTGAAGTGGCTAAAAGAGACCTTCTCGGTGCCGTTGCCTTTTGATGTGCCGCTAATATTGATTGAGCAACATGCACGTGCATACATTATGCACATGATCGGTTCAATATTATTTCCAGATTCGAGTAAAGATAAAGTGCATGCCAGGTATCATTTTTATCAGTATTTACAATTATGTATGTTGATTTAGCTTATTTTGATAACTTAAAATGTTGTGAAAATGCTAGGTGGTTACCACTTATCGGGGACTTGGACACGTGTGGTGCGTTATCGTGGGGTAGTGAGGTTTTGGCGTACCTATATAGAGAGATGTCTAAGGTTGCATTCATGAAAAATAGTGACCTCAAAGGGTGTCTCAGCTTACTACAAGTATGGGCATAGTAGAGGCTGCATTTGAAGCTGAGACTATGCGTGAATTTACAATTAGACGGACAAATTCCACTAGGATACATGTAATATATTTTTTAACGTAGTAAATATAATTGTAGTTATTCATTTGGTACTGAATTTTGAAACTAACACAGATGGAATGTCCAAAAATGTTTAGACCTCGGCTAGACAGTTAGATTTCTACCGAAATGAGCTTGACCGCATGAAGATTTTTCAGGTATCATTTCTATAAAAATGAGTTTTTCCTTCTATATATCAACTTTCGTTTTAATGATATGCAACAATTATATGTAATACACTGTAGATGGAATGGGAGCCCTACACCCCATTTCTCAATCATCTACCCCCGATATGCACAGAATACCCAGTTATATGGAGAGCCAGAGTTCCTCTAATATGTTTTGAGATAGTAGAAATACATGTACCGGACCGCGTGCTTCGATAATTTGGTCTTGCACAACATGTTCCGTAATTTGTTGAAAAAAATAGAGAGGAAGGCGAAGAAAGGAGGCCAACAAAAGGACTGGGCAGCTGAGCATCAAAATTATATACACAGATGGAATGATAGACATTTTTGTATTGTTGAGCAAATCGAGCCAACTCCCCAGGAATCAGATTACTACACTTGGTATTGGAGGATAACTAGAAGATGGATACTCCATGCGACCACATCCCCAGTTGAGTTGCAAAGAGGATATGTGCCTCGGGGTATAGATGAGAGAGAATTAGTAAGTATTTTCAAATATATTTTAAGTTCATTTTTATTAGAATTTTTCAATATTGCTAAATTATGTTTTTTTTAAAATTTGCAGGTATCAGCAATAGATGATGTTCAAACCATTGCAAATAGTGGCTTGGAATTGGCTCGAGCAGGTAATATAGAATTAAATATAAAATTTACATATTGTAATTTGAATTTTAAAGTAATTTTTGCATTTCGGATTTTTTTGAATTATCTCTCGCAGGTACATATCCCGAAGCACAGAAACATGCATCAATATATCAGTCGATAATGCAGAGGCTTCACCAAGCCTTACATCGAACTCATGAAGAGTAGCGCAATTAGTATACACACGTCAACAACGACATAGACGAGGACGACGCAGAAACGACAATGAAGCTAGGCCTTCCCAATGTGTTGACGATGGAGCTGGACCGTCACAACCACAAACGCAACCGGATCATGAACTCATCGAAGGTCGGGATAGAGGAGGCCGAAGACAAAGGAGGAGGAGAAGAGTTCTTGGATGTATGTAAGCTAATTGGTATTGTTATATAAATTACAATCCTATTTTGATATGTACATTACAAACGTATTTCGGGACAATAGATGGTTTTTGGATTTGTAGCTGAGATTGTGGTATGACTTATTAGATTTGTAAGTGGGTTTGTGACGTGATTTGTTGGATTTGGATTCGTAAGTTTGTGGTGTATTTTATGATTTTTAGATTTGATATGTGTTTATGCAGGGAATTGACATATGAGTTTGTACAGGGAATTGATATATGTGTTTATGCAATGGTGTAATTTATGATTGTTGCATTTGAAATATGAGTTTGTACAGGGAATTTTCCCGTAGCAGAAATACATGCACAGTTGTGAATGTGCAGGAAATGCACGGGACTGCTAGTCCCGTGCATTTCATTGCGCCCAGGAAGTGCACGGGACTAGCAGTCCTGTGCACTTCTTTTGTGACTCTCTGTAAAGTGCACGGGACTGCTAGTCCCGTGCACTTCATTTTTGTAGTCTCTGCAAAAAACACGGGACTGCTAGTCCCGGGTTATTCGAAACTGCCTCGAAATACACAGGACTAGCAGTCTCGTGTATGTCGTAAAATTTCTTCCGCAGCAAAACCGACCCTTTTCAGAAGAAAAGGGTCGGTTTTGCTGAATAAATTTCTAAGAGGTCGATTTTGCTATTTAAATTACGAAAATGGTTGATTTTGAAAATTTGTCCAAACGTAAAAGATAAGAAACTAGCACAATCACCACCCTTTGACTGTAATTCTCCAAAATGTAACGATGCTTTTTTGATTGTTTTTCTCATCTTCTCTTATTTTGTTGCCTTTTTTTATCCGTTTTAACTTCATTCCTTTTTTTAAATGTTATTTTAAACATATAAAAGATAATTAACAAAAGATCCACGTCACTAGTTTTGGCGGTATATTTTCTAAAACAATTGTGAAGTTGTTGTCTTTCTGACTACTAGTTGGATTGCACGTACAATGTACGTGGTTGAATATCATGGTTATTTAAATTGATAAAAATAGAATAAAAAAGAAAAAATAAAGTTTTTTTGTAGGATTTATCATCAACTCAATAATCTCTCTTTCAAATAAAATATTGTCATTGTTTCATTCAACCCAGACTGTCACCATGTAATCTACTATTTGTGAGTTATAAACACATTGATCTAGTATAATATATTTGTTTATTAGTATCTTGAAGTCTTTAAAAGATGGGTGATCATTCAATTTGTAAATAAAGTTTACATATGAATTTACTTGCAATATGTCCATTAAACTTTTAGTTGTGGTTTGACTCATATTCACATTAACTTTTAGTTGTGGTTTCACTCTTATTTACATTATCTAATATTATCATTCAATTTTATAGCTTATTCTCCGTACCATAGAAGTAAAACTGAATATATAAAGAAAAATTTTCTTGTGAAATTAGAGTAAGGAGATTATGATATATTTTACCATGTACTTTAAATATAAAAAAATTTCTTTGACGCAAGGTCCCTACCAAATCTTACCCTAAACAATATGAATAAAAAATGCTATTATAACTCACTTGTCTGGAGCAATTATTGTAGGCGTATAAAAATGCCTATAGGTTCCTACACACAGCTCGGGACGAAATACAGACGATAAGCGTCATCATCCAAGTCAGGAAAGGATTATCTATCCCCGTGAAAGCTAACGAATATACAAAGTAAGTCATTGAAGTATACAAGTCACCGGAATGATGAAATACGCAATACAAGTTCGGAGAAGTCAGAAAGTGTCGAACACCTCAAAGTGGCCCGCACAAAGGATTGGCATTTAGACCATGTTATAATTTGTATCTGAGGAAACTCAAAAGATAAAAGTTGTAGGTATCTTCGTCAGCTTTATAACGCATCTTGAACCAGCTCAATCCGAGGTCGAACGAGAGAGTTAAGACCAAAATACCTAAGATACCTCAACATGACAATGTTACAGTAACCGCGGGTCACCAAAGAGTGACCCGTGCTACAGTAACCACGGGTCACCAAACCCGGCCCGCGCTACAGTATTTCCGACCGCTACAATGCCATGTTGTGTGCAGCGAAAATTTCGGCAGCACTTCGGCAGCACAACAAGAGAGTCAGGTCGCAATAAGAATTCCCGTCTCACCAAGGAAACAAGAATCTGAAGCGAATATCTCAACAAAATGAGATATCAGCTCTTCCTCTCATCAGTTCTAGGACTGACCTGTCGAGAGATCCTAAAAAGCTATTACAAATCACACAAAAGCAGTACAACCAATTTTTACGTGGTTTGGCAAATTGCCTACGTCCACGGGGAGATGATGGGGAGATTTCACTATATGGAGGAGAAATACAACGGGTTACAACTCACAAAATCACTCAAATATAACCCTAACCAAAGCTCTCAACTCCCTCACAATATCTCCCTCTCAAAGTGCTCAAAACAATGCTAACTCTCTCCTATTCTCTCCTTCAATTGTTCCATATATATAGAAATCCTAAAATCATAAACATACTAGGAATTCTAAACCAAAAGCCAAATCAAATTAGGAATCCTAATAACCTATTACCAAAATAGATTAGTAATCCTAAACCAAAATAGATTAGGAATCCAACAATTGAATCCTAAACCAAAATAGATTAGGAATCCAACAATTCTCCACCTCGGCGAAGTGTTCCCAACACTGAGCCGACACCAACATGAGCATCAATTTGTCGTCTCTCTAAACTCGGCTGCACCAATGTGGTTGCCTACGTACCCCCTCTCCCAAGGGATCAAGCCGCCCGTAGTTCATCCAAATGGCCGTCAACGGCCTCAACAATCACGAATGTGCAACAAGTTTCGATAATGATCAAACTTGTTGCTCGGAACCACCTTAGTGAGTATATCCGTCGGATTATCCTTTGTGTGGACTTTCACAATCTTCACATCGCCATCTTCAAGAACATCCTGAACGAAGTGATAACGGACGTCAATGTGCTTCGTCCTCGCATGAAAAACCTGATTATTCGCCAAATAGATAGTACTCTTGCTATCACAATGAATGGTGACGGACCTCTACGATATACCAAGTTCCTCCAAAAGTCCTCGAAGCCAAATAGCCTCCTTCACAGCCTCCGTAACTGCCATATACTCTGCCTCCGTCGTAGACAAAGCCACCGTGGTCTGTAAGGTGCATCTCCAACACACCGGCGCACGGGTTAAAGTAAACACATATCCCGTAGTAGACCGACGCTTATCCAAATCCCCGGCATAATCCGAATCAACATAGCCAATGTTGGCCTTCTTGTTTTGATGATGTTTAACAAACAATTTACTTCTAATGTTGTTTGTCTAGTGTTTGTGTTTTCGTATTTATTCTAGGCAAACAACAAGTTGGAGGTTGGATGGATTGAGCCTACACGATCATATCAAGAGGAGGTTGGCAGAATTGTGGAGTGAAGCAACGTACAATTCAAGTTAAAATCCAAGTTCAAGCTTCATCCGCAAGTGTACCAAGTCAAGCTTAATTGAAGATCAAGATTGCTTGGGTAATGTAGTTTTAGGTTTTATATTATGTGTGTTAAGTACATTAAGCTCAATATCATATACAAACACGTATTTGGTTTCTATGTATATATATAGTTATATATATACATACATATGTTTTTGAGTTTTTTATGGTTATATATATGAAATTACATATTTCATACTCTATTGTGTTTTAGTACTTATTGCATAGAATATGTAATTTTATGAAAATATTATCTTATTAGTTTATAGACTTCAATATCAGTTTATACATGTTTTACTAAGTCTATAAAAATATTTCACAAAGTTTCAAAAGTTAGTTTATGTCAAAACATCAAAATTCAAGTATCTCATATTTTTATGTTTTGGACTATTTTGTAAAATGATGATATTTTTCATTTGGGAAGTCATTTTTGGAAACCAGTCATTGTAGCATGTTTATTATCATGCCTACAATCATTCCCCAAAGTTTTACATTTTTTGGAATTTATTTGATATTTTTAAACAGTGTTTTAAATCAGCATATCAGTTTTCTGCTGTGTCAGTTTTCGGTCGACCGCACCGGTCGACCGATCATTTGTTCTTTCGTCACCATGCAGCAGGTCTAGTTCTGTTTTTTTGTTTATTTTAATGTTTTGGGGGTGTTTTTATTGGTTTTTGGGGTTGTTTCATGAGCCTATATATACCCCATGCCCTCATACTTCTAAGGGTACTCAAGAAATGTTTTAAACAAGTTTAAAGAGTTTTAAACAAGGGTTTAAGTGTGTTTTAGTGTTTGTTTGGTTTGAAGATTGTTTTTACAAGTGGAGGAGATCATCTTCTTGTTTGGGCTTCAATCTCCATCTCTCCATCTTGTTATTCAGAGAAGAATCTCTAAACTCATTTCTAGCTATTTATTATTTTGTTTATAATTTCTATATGCTAGATTTTAATTGAGTTTAGTTTTGATTTTGATTTCACTCATTGTTTACACACACCCACTTGAGCTTATTGTATTTGCATTCATAATATATTAGGGTTGTGAGAGTTGTAACATTGAGTGTGGGCTTTTATTGTGTTCTCATCCATATTAGAGAACAATTTATATTTGTTACATTGTGAGATTGTTAGGTTTTCGGTGAGCTAGAAACCGAGTGTGTTGTGAAGTTTTCGGTGAACTAGAAAACCGAGTGTGAGGAGTGACGTTGATCGGTGAGCGTTGAAAACCGATACTGTGAGGTGTAAACGTTATTCGGGTGAACGTAGAAAACCCGGTTATGATAGTGGATTTCTCCCCGGGAGTGGGGAGCGGAGACGTAGGATGGAAGGTC